ATCCATGAGTTCATGTGGAGATGTAGGTGCAACATAATTGTATACCCGTTTCATTTCACTTATTGGTCCTGCCATATTTATAAGCAATATACTGAGACTTACAACTTGACGCTGTTAAATCAAAACTGAGACTGAATATTCACACGATAGAGTATTAATTGTTAAACCATGTATGTAGTGGGGGTTTATGTATAATGTGTTTGGTAGTGGGGATTAGGTAAATAATGTGTTCAGCATTTACATGTATATATATATATAATAATAAAGGTAGTGTGTTGCACAATTATATGCGGATACCCTGTTATACATGTGCACTCGTATTATTATTTGTTAACAGTAATGTGATAAGTGATATCAGTTTAGGGCAGAACTGCTCGCGGTTATATATGATAACGCATAGTAGCACACGTACGCGATCGGGCTTTTGACGGTGGTGGTGGTGGTGAAGTAGGGGGGAGGCGGTGTCGGTAGCGGGCTATCTATGGCTGGGTGGTGAAGTGGGGAGGTGGCGGCGGCGGCGGTAGGGATTTTTGAATGAATGAATAGTCGCTATTCATTACTGTCCGCAGTTGGTGATATAGTGCTCTATTATATACATCTCGTTCGCTCTGCGCTAATACTACGCACGTAATTATTATATAACGTATTAAAGAATGTAGTACAATCGATCAGATTAGCTGGCGGCGATGGTGGTGAATATTTGTAAGTTTTCTTGTAAATATTTTCCATATTTTCAATTGGACCAGCCATATTTATTTTACGCACTGAGAAATAATTATGATTTTAACACTGAATATGAGACAAGCACACGCGAAACACTTGGAACGATTATATAGAGTGACTGAATTTATGTTGTGTAGTTGTGTTCATAAACGAGCAAAAATATACCAGTAGATTATTTTGTGTTAAAGTCACTGTGATAACTGATAACGCACCGGAGGGCTCGCGCGCGCGTTCGCGGCGGCTCTTGGTATGGTATAGTGGTGGGGGAAATTATTTTATGTTGTGTAGTTGTGTTCATAAACGAGCAAATTAAATATTAATTGGTGGGGGAGACATCGAAAAGTCTCTACAGGTTAATCGGGAGGGGGTAAATGGTATAGTGGTGGGGGAAATTATACCTCGCGCATAGACGCCGGTTAAATGAGATAGAATATACCTTCTCAAACAGATGCGAGTAGGCGGCCCAGTGGTACGGTTGTCGCTTATCATGCAAGATATCGGGTTCGAATCCCGGTCCGGCGGATAAATTTTTAAATTATTTTCCACGCGCGGTGGTCATAGGTGGTGGGGTGGCGGGGGTACATCGTTAACGTATGTGATATATGGTGGGTTCAGCAGCCGTCAATGTATAGGGATGAGCAGACGGGTATAGTGGGATGAGCAGACGGGTATAGTGGGATGAGCAGACGGGTGTATTGGGATGAGCAGACGGGTATAGTGGGTTGAGCAGACGGGTATAGTGGGTTGAGCAAACGGTATAGTGGGTTGAGCAGACGGTGTAGTGGGTTGAGCAGACGGGTATAGGAAATTGCCAGCAGGTTGAGGTTCCAGAACTCTCTTTTTTAACCTACTTAGGATAGTCCTAGTTTATATTATATTTTATATTCGAAAAATTTGATATCCAAATCGCCGTCGTCGATTGTAGCCCGTCTATTTCATAGTGACTGTCTTTTTTCTTACACGATCGCGAAATCTGTTTACTGGGCGGCTGCTCCTTGAACGTTTCGAATGTCCCCGTAGGTGACTATGCCACTACGAACCGACTTGTCTTTATACGCTGTCTATATTCTAGTTCCCATAAGTTATCGTATGTTTCTACTTGGCATTATAAATCATGTTTAAAGTGAACGTGAGAAGTGCGTTAAACGCCATATCACAGGGAAATCTGTCGATTTGTCAGGCCGCAAGAGGCCACGGGGTGCCCGAGACCACTCTAAGGGAGCTGGTCAAAAAATTGAAAATCGTTCCCAAAAAAGTAAGTTATTTTCTCTTTTGCAATACACGGGTTTATACTTGTGTTTCTGTAAATTTATAGGCATCTACAGGCTATATTAAAGTCGAAAACAATGAAAAATTATCGAGGGCAATAATGTTGGTGCAAAAAATGAAATTTACCGTCAACGGTGCTTCTAGGGAATGCAAGGTCCCTAGAACAACTTTGAAAAAGGCCCTCAAAAATTTTGAAAAGATCAAAGGTGAATTGTCAATTTTTTTTTCATCCGTTATAAATTATTGAATTATATATTTTTGTTAAAATTTTAGGGTCTCTTCCAACACCGTCTTCGGGTGGAAAACCATTAGTTGTTTTAGAGACGAGTGTGCCGGACGTCTCTAAAAAGTTAGTCGTGTTGGAGGAATCGATGCCAGAAAAAGGTAACATCGTAAAATTATTTTATAATGAATAATAGTTTTAGTCATAAACTATAATCGCTTATTGATATTGTTTTTTTTTAGTTGTGTTCAAAGGCAGAAAATGTAAGCCAGTGTTGGTGAAGCGTTTGGTGGAAGTCCACAAACGCTCGGCTTATTCGTCAAGGCCACCCGTTAAAGGTAAAATATTTTTGAAGTTAATTTTTGGACTTTCCTGTGTAGTAAGGTATAAAGTAATGAAATATTATACAGCTGAAAAACCGTTGGATGATAATATGGCCGATGACGTGGCCGATGACGTGGCCGATGACGTGGCCGATGACGTGGCCGTTGACGTGGCCGATGACGTGGCCGATGAATATCTCCCCGTTAATACACACACTCGGTGGTTGGACGATGACGAGTTAGACGTCGCAAACTGTAAGTGTTATCTTCCTGAATTTTTTAATACATTTTATAATAACTTATTAATTTACAGCTAACGAAAATGATGGAAATGCTGTTCCATCGCCTGACCCTTATGAGTTCACCGAGGACGAGTCGGGTATGTACCGTTTATACTCACCTAACGAGTTAACGATTTTTATTTAACGTTATCGTTTCAGAGTTAGAACACTTTAATTGTGTCCCGGGACATACGTCCAGCAAACTTGAGGTGGACAAGGTGTACACACCATCTCCACCTCTTCTCGATGAAATTCCACATTTTCATGAGTCGCTGTCATTTACGCCCGTCGTGGATGTCGAGGGAGATGGCGTATTGGTCAACGTTGAAAACCGTAAGTGTTATTCTCAAGAATTGTTTTATACATTTCATAATCTTATTAATTTACAGATGATGTCGCTCTGGTTGACGATGACTATGACTCGTACGTCGACGACGAACTGGGTATTTACCAATCATACTCACCTAATGAGTTTACGATTATAATTTAACGTTACTGTTTCAGACCAAGAACAATGGAAGTATGCCCCGGGCACATCGAGGGACACAAAATTTTCACGCGCCTCAAATGGACATTCGTCGAATGCGTCGCCGGTCATCGGACGTGAGTGTTAATGAAATCAGGGGTGAAGTGTTTTGTTTTTACTAATATCAATATTTCCCCACAGTAGCGAGTCCATTGATGGTACCCGATGTTTCAAAGATGTCGTCACGCAACTCGTCAATCTCCCGCAGTGTGTATTTTTATTATAACCATGGGCGCGTGCTGTACTGTGTTATTAATACTTGTTTTTTCCATAGGTCCATCTCCAACGCCATCCAGAACCAGGAGAACCAGGCTGAACGTATCTGAAAAAATAACTAGCCTTATAACAACACGCGTAAGTAACCTTTGCAAAACATGCCTTAACACTTGGCAATAAACTAATGGTATTTTTTTTCGCAGCTGTTCAAGTACTGTCCGTTCTGCCGTTATACTACGGACGATAATAAAATGACCCGACACATCGGATTAAAACACAGGCAGCTCCTGAAACGACCCGTCAAGGCTAGCCTTGATGGCATGGGCAACACCTTTGGCGGGGAGTCCAGGCGCTCTGTGTCCCTGGTCCCGATGTCCGTCATCAGAGAACAGATGGGTCCTTATTGGGATGACGTTTCATTTCGACGCATCGCCTTCAAGTAATTATAGATTTATATAAATATTAAATCAGAAAATATTTGTCTTTAACCGTGTTTCATTTCAACATTTTAGATTGTGCGTCATGGGTAGGCTTAAGGTTTACGGTGGGGCGTGGGACCTCCCGGAGGCACCCACCATCCCTAACCCCTTCCAAAAGCACATAATTGAAGATCCGTTGCCATCGCCGCCACGCACACCGGTGATGAGAAGACAGCAGCATATCCGAGTGGAGCCCGTTGACGAGCCCGAGCCAGAAGTCGTTCCTGACTTGCCGATTTCACCGTGTTTTAACGGTGTTTGTATTTCGGTCTTCTAGGTACAAAAAGGTACGTAAGCAGCTGGTCGACCAGGGTCTCCAGGAGCAACTTCCGACCAACCATCCGCTGATATCCCTCCACTCGAAGTACCTCGAGTTAGGCCACGAGAAGGATTCTCAGGCATGCAAGAATTACCTTGCGAATGTCTCGAGAGTCCTTCAGTTCGTCTCGACGTGGCTCAACGATCGTGGATCTCCGCCGAGACATTGGTCGGAATTGTTGTCTTCCAGCGAGGAGCCATACGTCAGATACTTCACGGAGTAAGTCCTAGCAGCCCACCACCTACTTATACCTAAATATTATATTATAATATATATATTTTTTTTTATAGGAGAGAGGAACTGGGCCAAACAACGGCGACAACAATAAATTATCTAAAAAATCTACACACGTTACTGAGCTCGGCCATCACCTTATACGCGCTGGAGGACGAGACTTTCCCAAAATGTTTCGACGGTGGGCCGAGCCAAACTGTCATCAATCGGATTAAACTGCTTCAGCAGAAGCTAAAAATATTTTACAGTAAAAAAATCAAGCAGCAGTCGGGAGACTTGTTCCGCAGGAAGACTGCCGAAGCTCTCGTTCTCCCTGAGTACACAGACATCGAAAACGTTATGGCGAAAATTGACCTTGACCTACCGCCGTTCTTGACCAGTTGGAGGAACACTTCGGCCCCGGTGGTATGGTCAAGGTCTCTAGCGATAAGACGTCCACGCCAGCGCAGAAACACGTAAGTAAATCTGATCTCTTAACCCGACACGACACAATATCTGATTCCAAAATTTGCATTTTCAGCTCTCCGGGATTTGGCGAAAGGTCGTTTGTGGCTTGTCCATCCGTCTTTTGTGGACCTCGAAGCAGAGGAGCGGTGTGGTGGCAAATATGTTGATTGAAGAGTGGGAGCGCCGTAGGGTCGAGGGCGAAAAGACTGTGGTGACGGTCTCCACCCACAAGACCGGGGACAAGGAGCCGGCCACCTTAGTCATATCACATGGAAAGGCCGAGCTAATGGAACGGTAAGTGGTATATCCGAACCTAACCTAACCTATCCTCATATTATTTATACAACCGTATAAACTTTACAGGTACTTTTCACTACGTCAGCGGGTCATCACGTCCGCGAAACAGTTTTTCGTGACCAACAAGGGCGAGAGAGTCACAAAACTATATGATGACATTAATAAAATTTACGGTTCACGCTTGTCGGCCAGCGTTTTCAGACGTATGGTCGAAACCAAATCCAGAGGGCACCACCCCGACGTGAGCAAGTCGGTGGCGGTGGCACTCCAGCACGGAGACGGCACGGCGCTCAAATTTTACAGGCTGCCGGACACCAATGAGGCCATCCGCCGGCACGACAAACTGGAAATGGTCGGTGCGACGGCGTTATTTGAGGCGGAGGTGTTGAAAAAGTGAGTTACCCAATGTGTAAAATCAACGAATACAAAATGATGAAAATGTGTATCTTATTTCAGCTTTGTAGAGATATTCGGCCATCAGGCCTATGTCAACATGACGCATGAAAACATCGTCGAGAGGCTGCAGACGTCGGACGAGTACGCCGCTCATGATGGGGCCGAGATCACTCAGTCGTTCGTCAGACGGGTGAAGGCCCGGTACGACGAACAAGTCCACGACGACCGAGTTACGATAATTTACGATCTGGCGGTACAGGAATATGAAAAAAACAACATTTCAAAATATGCGGTTGAAAATCTGGCGAAGGAAAATAAAATACATTATTTCCTTTACGCAAATAAAGAAAAGATTGTTAAGGACGTGGTGAAAAGATTTCAATAGTCAGTGAACGACAGTGGATTAGGCCTTCGGGGATACCACTCTAAAAAAAACGTCGACGGGGGAACGTCAGTGGATTAGGCCTTCGGGGATACCACTCTAAAAAAAACGTCGACGTGGTAACGTCAGTGGATTAGGCCTTCGGGGATACCACTCTAAAAAAAACGTCGACGTGGGAACGTCAGTGGATTAGGCCTTCGGGGATACCACTCTAAAAAAAACGTCGACGTGGTAACGTCAGTGGATTAGGCCTCTTGGGGAAACCACATAAAAAAAAACGCGCTGTAGCTGATACCCCTTGGGTAGTGTGGAAATTCAGCTAGTACCTGAGCATTGCATCTGAAAAAATGTACGTTTAAAATGCGGAGCGATGAGTCAACCCGGACCGAAAAAGTTGTGATATGGCAGGGCGCTATACACAAGAAAAGGCGTCATCTGGTGTCCGCCGTTTCTTCGCGCGGCCGAGGGACGGTCGTCGGATCGTCGGCCCGGATCCACGACTGCCTGCCGCGTGTCATATCGAAAAAAAACCATGTGGCCGCGTAGTGGTACGGCGACACGGACTTTAAAAAAATAAATCTAGAGAGCGCCCGATCATCAAGTCAACGTCCAATAAATGAGGTAGGAGGATTCGATGGTACACCGTACTTGAAATCCGTAGAATGTTATAATCCAATTTTTGATAAATCAACAGGTCAACGCCTAATATAGGGCGATTCAATCAGTTCAAGGGGACGTTTCAACATCCGATTACCGTGCATTTCAACCAGGGCGATTTCAATCGAATTTTTATTTTAAAAACCTCGCACCAATTATGGTTATCAGCGACGGGGTCCGGTTAAAGTCAACCCCGATGACGGCGTGGTGAAAAAATAAAAATCTCCCTTCAATCTGTGAATTCCCCAAAATTGTCCCCGACAGTGGGTCATGAGAAAATATTCATAGGCTACTGTCTCGTCGGACCGTCCAGAATATTCAGGATTAGATAATCGGGCGGCCGATAAGAAGTGTTTTGAATCAACAGGTTGACATCAATGCCGGGAATTTCGAATGATGACTTACTTACGGGGACATCGTCACGGGGGAAACCAACGACACGGTTGCAGGCTCACGATAAGAATTCTTTTGAATCGACAGGTTAGGCACGGTGAAATCGAAAGTATAGGGGTAATTTTCGGACCGACTCCCCGGTGCTCTTCTCTGACTACTGATGAATTTTGAACTATTTCCTACCACTATATCTCGTTTAATATTCGTCCTAGCTCTATTCCACCTCTGTCCATTCAAGTTTCTCTTTCGATTAACTATCTGGTGTTAAAGTTTGAAAGCCGTCAGATGAAATCTGGCAAAGTTGACTTCCGAAAAATATCGAAAATCTAACGGGGACACGGTCGGGGAATTTCAGGATTGAACTGTTGAAAAGTATTTTTCCCCGTCGCCGTCTCCGGGGTTGACATCGGGCGGTCCTCGTCCGCCGGATTCAGTTTTCAGATATCCGGTTATCGATTGTTGAGAAATATCACGGACCGCGGTGACAGCTACCCGGCGACTCTCGCTTGACGGCCGGTCGTCTCCCCGGAGGACGCTGTACCACTACGCACCGACATGGTTGATGTACGCGTGTATCCGGTTTCAAATCGTATTTTCATATTTTGTCCCCGTGGGCCGGTCATCGAATTCCAATACCGTACGCGACGGTCGGCTGCCCGGGCGGCCGCACCGCCATCGGACGCCGTCGAGCGATAAGAATTTTATTGAATCGACAGGTGGACTTCAATCTGGGGAACGTCGGTGTCAGACTCACTGACGGGGACACTATCTTGGGGAAGAGGAGGATGGAACGATGCACGGTGAAATCCAAAGTGTCCGGGTGGTTTGCGGACCGACTCCCCGGTACTCACGTCCGAAGTCAAATTCACTTTGAACTATTTCCTACCACTATATCTCGTTTATTATTCGTCCTAGCTCTATTCCACCTCTGTCCATTCACGTTTCTTTTACAATTGACTATCACGTTTGAAAGTTTCAAAGCCGTCGGATGAAAACTCGCAAAGTTGACATCCGAAAAATATCGAAAATCTCGAGGGGACACGGTTCGAGAATTTCGGGATTGAACTGTTGAAAAGTATTTTTCCCCGGCGCCGTCTCCAGGGTTGACATCGGACGGTCCTCGTCCGCCGGATTCAGTTTTGAGATATCCGGTTATCGATTGTTGAGAAATATCACGGACCGCGGTGACAGCTACCCGGCGACTCTCCCTTGACGGCGGGTCGTCTAACCGGAGAACGCCGGACCACTACGCACCGACATAGTCGATGTACGCGTGTATCCGGTACTCATTTCGTTTTTATATTTACCCATCAGCCGACCGCTGACGATTATCCAATAGAGTCCGATGATGATGTGAGTATAAAAAAATTCAACTGTTCCCTTTTTATAAATATTAAATTTATCGTCGTATCATGTTGTCCAGATGTTCGCTGATGAGCAACCGGCGACAACCGACGGTTGTCGGTCCAGCAGTGCCTGGATCTAGGCATCGGTGGCCAGAAGGTAAACAATGCAAAAAATTATTTTTAGATTGAAGTTCGTTGCGTATAAATTTTCAATAAATATTTTTCAGCCATTCCGACACTGCCCGTTGTGTGACTTTCTCACATATGTTAACTCCCGCGGCACATAGCAAATGTGCACCGTGGGTTGGTTATACACCCCGTGAGGGACAACGTTCAAAAAATCAGTAAAATTATAAGTGCCAAGGCGAAAAAGGGTATAAAACTTGTGCGCCTCAACAGGATTATTGATACCGTCGGAAGGAAAATATGGTTGGACCAGTCCTTCAGAAAGTCCATTTGGAAGTGAGTTTTAAAATATGGTTTCCATGTTTTATTAATCTGCAAATGTTTCTTACTTACAGGCTCTTCAACATCCTCCAGGTTGAAATTTGGGATGGGGACTGGGAGCTGCCCAATGTTCCAATCGTGAGAAACCTGGAAGGAATCGTTCAAAATTGTAGGATCAGAGAAGACCGTGAGGTGTTTGATACACCACCTATCCGAATGCATTCACCACCAGCTACACCCACTAACCGCCAGACGTACGCTCCACCAGATATACCCACAAATAGACATACCAATGCACCGCCAGAAACACCCACACACCGCCAGATTGTTCCTTTGACACCCTTGACACCAGATGCGAACGAAACCATGGAAAGAAAGAGTGAATTTCATTTTTCTAGAATTAAATTATTTTTCATCGTATAAATTATTTAATTTATAATGTTTTTTCCTAGGCCGGAATCGCAAATGCTGCATTGCAAGCTGGTGACGGACGGGTTGCAGCAGAAACTGCCTGCTGATCACCCGTTCCTAAAGTTGTGCCACTCATCGATGTTACAAACACACCCAATGCAGCCAAATGCCGTGAAAAATTATTTGGCAATCCTGAGCCTGGTGTTCAGGTACGTTAGTGACCAGCTAACGATGAACGTTAAACAGAAATTTCACTGGTTGGAATTGTTACAGCACCCAAAGCTGATAATAGACTACCTGAAACGGTAAGCATAAATACTGAATGTTATGCGAAGGATAAATATTACAATCGAAAATTCGTTTCCACAGTCGCGAGAATGCAGGACAAACGTACAGTACAACGATTGCCTACCTGAAGGTAATCAAACCAATGCTCACCAAAGCCGTGAGGTTTATTCCCATACCAGGACCCAACATTCCCTATGGTCGACGGGGTGCCCGACCGTAGGGAATGTGACAGAGTACTGTATACACTAAACGCGTTGAAGGACACATTTAAAGGACGGGGTAAGTTGTCGACGCAGGAAACGTTTTCGAACAAAGTACTGGCGGCCGACACCTTACCCTCGTTTAGCCCAATTGAGGATCTGGTGACAAAAATGAAGTTGGAAATGGATGATCATTTTGTGGAACTCGAAATACTGTGTAACACTACAACGGCCAAAATTGACGTCGCGCCGAGGGTTATAAATCGGCGGAAAACCAATTTGGAAGTTAGTCGTTGAATGATATTTTAAAAAAAATAGTAAATATAACTGATGAATTAATTTGTAAATTAATCTATTTGTTTTCAGGTCGCAAAACTTTGGCGGCAGGTGACGATAGCGCTCGCAGGCACATTGGTTATACTAAATAAGATCCGGGTGGGTGTGGTGAGGCACCTCACCATTTTTGAGTTTGAGGCGGCCACTCGTGGAGAATATACTGTTATATGGGTCGCAAAACACAAATTAGGCGACAAGACGCCGGCCACCATTGTGTTAAACGACGAGATGATGGCCTATATGGACCGGTGAGTGAAAACAGACGAATAGAATTATTTGATCAAAGAATATGAACATTCCCATACTCTTTAGTTATTATTTATTGCGGCGGAAGTTAGACGACGTCAAGGTCGACAACTCTTTCGTCACGAACACTGGGCAGGCGCTAACGAAGTTTTTTGACCTGCTCAACCAAGAATGCAAACAACGTAACATAATGGTACCCGGTAAGGATGGCGGTATGGGTGGTATCCGGCACCCTTATTAGAAAACAAATCGAAACGGCCGGCATCACGCACTCTCCTGCCACCAAAAAACTTCTGGCCAGCTGCTTGCAGCACAGCGAGGCCACGGTTGAACGGTGCTACCACGTCCCGTCGGCACACGCTGCAATCGAGCAAAACACCGTGCGATGACAACGATCGAACAATCATCCAAGTTGAGAGAGTTTATAATATCCAAGTAAGTATTTACAAACATTAACAATATATTATGATATTTGTAAATCGTTTTTTTCTTAGCATCGAACATTACATGGACGTCACCGATCCGTATTCAGAGTTGCCATCGTTCGAGGAGTTTTGGAAGCAGATTCAAAGCCTCGACACGGTACAGCTGCAATTCCCAATGGCGGAGCTCACCATTGGGGATTATAAGCAAATCGTGGAGAGAGCGGAGAGTTTGATTTCAAAATCAAGAGCGCTCG